GACGGGGGGTGGTGGAGACTGGACGGGGGGTGGTGGAGACTGGTCGGGCGGTGGTGGAGAGTGGACTGGTGGTGGCGGAGAGTGGACTGGTGGCGGTGAGGCTGGAACAGAGGGCGTTCGTGTGTGAGATGTTGGCGGTGGAAACACAATCGGAGATGGTGGAGACCCAACTTCTACGTAAGGGATTTCACCCACAGATGGTGACGGCGGCGGCCTAAACCTGGGCGATGGAGACTGAAGAAATGGATCATCAGCACAACCACCACACTCCATGGGTTTATCCAAAACAGAGCTACACTTGGCCGCATCTCTCTGCCCCGGTCGATTCCCCAAACAATTCCCAACATCATCAAAAGAATTCTTAGATTCTTTAGACCCAACACACGCCGCATCTTCCTCACTAAAATAATTACTCGAACAATTAAAGTAAATCAATTTAGGCAACTCACAAACACCACCAAAAACAGAGCCCCTCAATTCATTGTTACTAACATCCAAAACCTCCAAACTATGCAGCCCCGGCAACGATTTAGGCAGCTCGCCGACAAACAAATTGTCACTAACATCAATAAGTGTCATATTCACGAGCTGCCCCATCTCGTAAGGGAAACACCCGCTTAGGTTGTTGCCGAGGAAGAGGGCCTGGTTGAGGTTGGGCATATGGCCGATGGTGTTAGGAATGCAGCCATGGAACTCGTTGTAGGCGAAGGACACGACGGAGACGGTGGAGTTTCCGATGGTATGTGGGATGAAGGAATTGAATCTGTTATTGTTTAAGAAAATGGCATCGAATTCCTTGGTGAACAGAGCAGGTGGGATTTCTCCTTCGAAGTTATTGAACCTGAGATCGAGGTACTTAGCGACGGACCATTCGAGAACAACCTCAGGGAAACGGCCGACGAAGCGGTTGGTGCTGATATCAAATTCAAACATGAGGGTGAGCTTGGAGAAGCTACGAGGAACGATCCCACAGAATCTATTGGAGTTAATATGGAAGAGAGCCAAATCGGTGATGAGGGCTAATTCCGGCACCAAATGGCCGGCAATATCGCCATGGTTCAAATCAATGCCGGCGACAACTTCAATGGTTGAGTCATCAAGCGCCGTGGTACAAAAGACGCCGACGTAAGAGCAGACATCGGCACCAACCCAATTGGCGGTCATGTTAAAAGGGTCGGAGTAAATGGCTAATTTCCAAGCTTGAAGGGCGACGTAGGCCTTTTTCAACCTCTCATTAGGGAAAGTGTCGGGAATGTCGAGTTCGTATGTGAAGTCATCTGGGAGGTTTTCGTAATCTTCTAAAGATTTAAGTTGGCGGCGAACAATGAATGAAGCTTCGGCGTCGGAGAGGGCGACGGAGAGAAGTGGCAGAGAGAGGAGGAGGAGGAGGAGGAGAATGCCGCCATGGTTAACTTGGTTTCTAAGAAGACAAGTCATTGTGAGCTCTGTTGATGTGTGAATGAGGAGGGGATTGTGGCATTTTAAAGTTTTTTTTTTTTTCTATTTTTGGTGAAATGGGTTTGTGTGGATTCATGGGTTGAGATTGATTTTAGGATTTGTAATAATTTTTTTTTTTATTTATTAATTGTGGTGAAAAGGTTTGTAATAATTTTAGGATTTATCCTTTATTTACTCATCTTTAATTTGATTTGTTTAAATTTAAAATAACCAAAATTTTATAAGACCAAAGTCAAAAACACGGATAAGTCAAATTTAGGGTTTAGGGTTTCGAGTTTAGGGTCTAGGGCAATGTGATCTTATGAGCATAAAGTTTCGATGATATAAAATTAATTAATTAATAAATTCCCATTTATTAACTATAGACATGAAATTTCACTCTTGCGTTTATAAATTTAATCATTATAATCTAGTCGATCATTTACAACTAGGTTTATTTATAAATAGATCAAAAGTTTATTTTATCCCTATAATTATATGTATTCATTAAATCCAATATCATATACTTACTGTTCGTGAATGTAAAATAGTTGATACGATAGATCTACTAGACATAGTATTGATCGATAATTTAAAAAAATATTTTTTCTTTATATTTTCAAACCGCTCATTTAGTATTATATTATGCGAAATTATCATTAACTAAATTTGAGATTGATCCATGGGAGATTTTAAAAAGTTTTTTTGTTTTTTTTTTTTTGGGTAATGAATTCAAACATATATTTAATAAAAGCTTTTGTTTTTTCAGTAGGTTTTTACTATCGCAAAGTATTAAATTTTAGTTTATCAAATTATGTAATACCATAAGAAAAGGAAAAAAAAATGAAAAGTAACAAAAAAAAAAAAAAAANTTTGTTATTAAAATATGTCTTTTACTTAATTTTAGTTTCCCAGAAATTATATAATATATATATATAATGTATTCAATTAAAATCATGTAAGACGTCAAGTAACACATAATTAATATTTATTCCATGTCAATGTTAAAATTAATAAAAAAAAATTTTTAATAAAATCGGTTTAAACTTTTGTTTAAATCTTATTGGATAGTCTTTCTAATATATATTTGTTCACGTACATGTTATATTAACAACTAAAATTAATAATTAAAATCTTACCAAACTTTAAATATTAATTATTCATAAGTCACAATGTATTAAATTTAATTTTTATGGATCGAGTCCACTGATAAAAAAAATATTGGGTCGATTTGAATCAAATTTTTTTATTTTAAAAAAAAATTTGACAAACCAAAAAAAAATCTAAATTATGAGTAATATGAACGCTTCAACAATATTTTGGGTGGGAGAAGAAAAAGGGATAGAGAATATTCTCAAAAGTTTGAACAAAACTAATCTCAATTTCTTCTTCAATTCAATATTAAATTTCACAATATTAAATTTAAGTTGGAAAAACTTGGCAGACAAGAATCTTTCGTTGACTAGATGGTTAGGAATCACAATTTGATATGATATTATCGAGCATAAGCTCTAATATTTTGGGCTTTTATCAATCTTCTCCTCCTTTCTTCTTCAATTCAATATTAAATTTCACAATATTAAATTTAAGTTGGAAAAACTTGGCAGACAAGAATCTTTCGTTGACTAGATGGTTAGGAATCACAATTTGATATGATATTATCGAGCATAAGCTCTAATATTTTGGGCTTTTATCAATCTTCTCCTCCAAGTACTAGTACGGTAGAGTCTCCCTTGAGGTTTATGGAGCCATCGAACAGTCTCTCCTTAATCGATGTTTAGCTCATTCTCTGAAGTCTTCGGTCACTTGAGTCACTTTTGATTCCATCTTTGAAGTTTAACACTTCTTTATTCAACATTTAAGAATTCTATTCATATGACTAAGTCAAGAGTAGAATAATAGGAATCACAAGCATCGTTACATTTTGAACCTAAGCTTAGCTTTACTTTATCCTTCCTCAAAATGCCTAAAAAATCAGAAGCTCATGGGAAAGGAAGAAGAGATAGAGAATAACTAAAACTGCTCGATCCGGTGACAAAATAAAAGATCAAATACAAGATCAGATCAGTGAAGAACGAACCTGATAGCGATTTTCGCAGCAATCAGAAGCAGAGGATGCAGAAACAGTACAAAGGCCCAAGCAGAATCAAATTCTAAGAATAATCGGTAAGTAAATCTTCCTTCTCAACTCGAAATCACAGGCGCGATTTCTTCGCTTCCTCGGATCATAAACAGATCTAGATCGAATCAACTTAGGATTAATCGGAATCCAAAATTGTACTCTGAAAACGCAACACCTAGAATAGCTTTCCGGTAGACTCCGACGGAGAAAGACGGCGGCCGGGCGGAAAAGGAAAGTGATTAAATATAAAGATATATATGGCTAAAACGGCGCAACAGAAAACGAGAGAGAGGGAGAAAGAGATAGGTTTTGTAAGAGACTGTTGGAGTTTGAACCATAAATGACGTGTCCGATTTGCAGGCGTTGCCTTCTTTTTAATCAACCTAATTAGGTATGGATATTATATTATTTTATTTTTCTTTATAAATAAAACAACTCATTTTTTCTTTTCTTTTTTTTAAAATAAAATATGTTTATTACATTTATACCCCTTTCAAATACATATCTCATTTCTACACAATAGAGTTCATAAATGTAAGATTTTCGGTAGCATAGTCGACTTCACAAGTGATTCAGAGTTATTTCTTATCTCGTTCCCGACTTAATATGCTTTCGTGAAGCATCTAGGTATAGATGTCATGAGATGATCCTTGCACCATTTTTCTATGAGATCTCACGTCAGTTGGAGATGAGAAAAAAACATTCCTTATAACGGTGTGAAAATCTCTCCCTAGTAGACAGACGCGTTTCAAAGAGGCTGACAACAATACGTACTGAGCCAAAGTGGACAATATTTGCTAGTGGTGGGCTAGGGTTGTTACATTGGACGGTGTGCCAGCAAGAACGTTGGTCCCCAACAAAGTTGGATTGTAAGCTTCCACGTCAGTTGGAGAAGGGAACAAAACATTCCTTATAAGGGTAGACACGTTTTAAAACCATTAGGCTAACAGTGATATGTATTGGGTCAAAACGGACAATACCTACTAGTGGTGGGTTTGGGCGGTTACATTTTCACTAGTCATTCTAACGACTCGAAAATATTTTTTTTAATGCACCATTTACATTTTACAGTATAATTTTTATTAAAAAAATGTAAACCAAAATCAAATTAAACTAAATGCCTCATATATATATTTAACAAATTAAATTTTAGTTAGATAGTTTTAATAATAAAAGCCACAGAAAATCATAATAAAAATATACATAATTAATTAGAAGTTTAAAAAATATAAAATAATTAAGCACAATTATCGAGATTAAGAACTAAATTTAATAATTAAGAACTAAAATTGGAATCTTAAAAAGTGTAATTCTTGAAAACGTGTCTATCATATGTAACTCTAGTGCCCCTATAAAACCCCTACCAACTATGATCCTAAGTTCATTCCCACAAATATATTAATTTAATTTTTATAAAATAATAAATATTATTTTTTAAAAAATATTTACTTATAAACTTTTAAAGGTAACATTAAAAATTTAAAAAATAATCGGTGATAAAAGATTTTCGTCCCTATATTAATGGTAAATAAATACTATAAAAATTAATTAATATTTTTATGGTAACAATATTTTTAAGCTTTATTTTTATTAATTTGAGTATGAATTATATCTAAATTTTAGAATTTTTCGAATCAAACCTTTTGGGTTTTGCCACGTCACCCTCACCCCTTCCAAAACACAATAAATGAAATTTTATGACGTGGCCTCCACCCTTATCCTATCACAACCGTTCATTTTTGTTCGCTACCTCGTGGGACCTACTAATCCTCCATTTTTATTTTTTTTTTATAAAAATTAGTGATTTTTTTTAAATATATTTTGATAAGAGGTATTTAAATTATTTGAATGACGGATTTACTTCGAAATTAATATTTGATGAATTAAGTTAGTTTATGGTATCCATGAATTTAGATGACGTTGATTCGAACAAACTAAAATTTATTATTAATTATAAAATATAGATTTTTACTTCCGATATAATTATATATACATGTATTTATTTTATTTTTTTATTATTTATTCTCGACCACTTTTTAAAATGATTTTTTTTATATATAATTTTTATTTTAAAATAAATGACTTCAACTCAAACCAACCTAATCCAACAAATTTATGGTTGTACATTGACCATTGACGGAAGGTTATTTGGGTTAAAAAAATTTACCACTAACAACTGAATTTTTATCACTAAATAATTGAGTTGAGTTAAAAAATATCGGACCCAACTCAACCCACAAACATCTTTAATTTTAACTGAAAATATACGTACAGTGTAAAATAATATATAATTAGTAAATTTATATTTTTCTAAATATAAAATTAAAATTTGGAGAGATTTATTACACGATAAACTTAGGGCGCATTTGGTAATATTTTTGTTTCTTGTTTCGTCTTTTAACACAGAAAAACCGCTTTTCGTCGGTTTTTTGTTTCTTATTCAAAAAAAACATAACCATGTTTGGTATGGTTGAAATTTTAAAAGGTAAGATGTAAAATTTTTATATGAAAATTCTTTCTAAAATTTTAAAGTAATATATATTTTTATAAATATAAATAATGCATTTATTTATTTATTGAAATAAAATTATAAATCAATAGATAAAAAAAAGTTTATTTTGTTGTATTAAATTTTAAAGTATATAAAAAATAACAAATTAGAAAAAAAAACGGTAATATTACTAAAGTGCCCTGAGACGCTTTTAATAAACTTATTAAACATGGTAATATTTTTATTTATTCGGAATTTTTTTTATTGTGGACCACGCTCGTATATAACGCGCGTTTCGAAAGCGGTGTACTACACGCTTCCATCATTTTATACCGTCATCTACGTGCAATGATCCACTGCAACCATTCCTACCATTACCAGTAAGATGAAGCTTTTAACGGACAACTCCGGCCGTTGGACGATTTGAATAGAAAGCTCCAGTGGGATCGACCACAGAGGATTTTGCTCTTTCTATTACGAAAGGTTTTTTTTTTTTTTTTAATAATAAGTTTTGTTTGGACAAATATGGTGACGTGTAGTAGCGGCAGCTTTCTTCCTCTGTCCTCCAAGAAAACCAAATTACCCTGTAAATAAAAGGAAAATGTAGGGGTAAAAGCGTCCAATTGAAATTAACAGATCAATATATGTATATGAAGGGCTGAGAAAGCAACTGAAAGTTAAACCCTGACTATCGAGTTCTGTGTGAGATCTGCGAAAGAAAAAAAAAAAACTAGAGATAGAAAGAGAAAGAAGGGAGAGATTTTCGTCTCCGAGGGAGAAAAATTTTCAGGCGGGAAGAGGCGGAAAGCTGGAGTCGTATCCTCTGTTGTGGATTGTGTATTGAGATAATCTTGTGGCGGTTTTGGTTTTTTGTTGATTTTTGGAGGCGTTTTTTTCGAATCTGCTTTTTGGTTTTCTTCCGCCATGAGGATCCGGAAGAACGCGAAGTTATCGCCACTGTTGTTTTCGGCTGTGGAGTGCGTTCCGCAGGTTCTTCAGACGCACGTTTGTCAGTTGAACCAGTCGCCATGGGATGTGATTCCTCTCGAGCAACACGCCGCGCACCAGGTTTTAATTAGTTGAGTTGAAGAAATGGAGAGATTTCTTTTATCTCTAATCTTTTAAATCTGTAATCTGTTTCTTCTGTGTAGATCTGTTTTTCTCTTCCTTCTCCTTGCATTTCCCTCTCTCTTTAGGGTTCTTTGTTTCCCCTTCCATTTTAGGGTTCATCCGAAAACCCTAAAAATTATCCTCGTTCTTCTCATGATTAGGTTAATGATTCTTACTCACCTTCTGCTCTATTTCTCGATGTTTCGTGTTCTCACAGCTCGAGGAGGTCGAAGATAGCTTCTACGAAAATGCTAGTTTAGGCGGTTCTATCGGAGCCGTCGAGAGGTGAGTTTATTTGTTTTTGTGACCTCTGCTGTTTGTTGTTATTGATTTGCGTTATTTATGATTCTTTCCGTTGCGTAAATAGTCGCGGTTGAGTGAACAAGTAAATGCTCATACGATAATCCGAAATAATTTCCTCGAAGCGAAAAGGTCTGGTAGTGAGATTATTATCGTCTGTCTGTGCGTGCTTTTTTGTGGATTCGAAATTTCGTTTGGAATTTATTTTTACATATGTATATACGAATCACAGCGTTGCGTCGATGATGGAGGGATCAGCGAAGTTATCGAATAATAATATTGTTATTACCAACGAGAGTGAAGTAATGGCAGACAAGGATGGGGATTATTGTGAAGATTTTGATGAAAATGGAGATGAATTCGAGAAATTAGTCGATAGCAGTTTGAAACAATTTCAGGAGGAAGATTATTCTTCGTTTAGTTTCGACCGCCGTCACCACCACCGCCGTTCACATCTTAGGTCTAGCGAGAATAATTATTATTCTACTCTCAATAATTCCTCGATTTCAAAGAAATCCGCCGCCGGATGTACCGTCTCGCGGCGGATGCGGCCGCCAAAGGCTTCGAAGAAGGCGGTTAGTGCGGCGACGGGATCGAATCCGTACGAGTTTTATTATTATTCTGGATTCGGACCGCTGTGGGGGAAGAAACGACGGGAGAGAGGAGGGGAAGACGGTGGGAAATCGAGCGAAAATAGGGCGGGAATTCGGAGTAATGCGACGGTGCCGTCGCCGTCACCGTCGGAAATGGACGGCGAGGAATTGGATTATGTCGAAGAGGACGACGACGATGAGGAGGAGGAGAAGGACGGCGACGGCGGGAAGAAGCGGATGAGGAAGCCGGTGAAAGCGCGGTCGTTGAAGTCGCTGATGTGAAAGAAGAAATTGGATTTGGATTTGAATTTGGAATTTGGAATTGGGATTTTGGGTTTAGGTTTTGGTGGTGGGAAATAATTATCGGGGGAACCTTTTAGCTGAGGGTTTTTTCTTTTTTTTTTTTCTTGGTCTTTCCAAACAATTGTTTGTTGGGGTTGAAGGAATTTCTTTTTTTTCTTTTTTTCTTTTTGTATGTAATATATTGTTATATTATTATTATTATTATTATTATTATTATTATTAATTTGAATATTGCTATTCTCTGCGTAATGCACGATGATGCTGTCTGTGTTGTGGCTTTGCGTGGCGGGGTGGGTGAGTTTAGTTTAGCTCATGAACGTGGACAGCAGGAGATTTAATAGGGTGTGTTTTAGGGAGACCGAGACATTGTGTTTTGTCAATTAAATGGGTAGTTCGGTAATTTTGTTTATACGTTTTTTATTTTTATTTAGTGAAGTTTTGGGTTGCTTTTTTTTGGGCTTGTGGTAATAGGTGACGTGGCAAGTGGTGTTTATTTCTCATATATGAATATTAATAATGGGCCTTTACTTAGGTCTAGAATGTCCATTTAACTCGTAGAATCGAGGCCCATAAATACCTATCCTATGAGAATCTCTATTTAACAAGGAGCAAGTAAGGAGACGAGCAAGATTTTTTTCTATTAGTTAAATAGATTAGTGATATACATTTTTTTTAAGGGTTGAATATTACATTGCAATATTAAATTTTGGATTTTTAGAAATTATTTTGAATATTATATTATATTTTTTCTATTTCATAGGATTGAATTTATTAAGATTTTTAATAGATTGAAAAATGGTAATTATACTTTATGTGAAATATAAATAGAGAATTTCGCAGAAATTGAAAATAAAATTGGAGATATAGATGGGAATATGGTAGACTTCCTTGTCTTTGTGCCACGTGAGGATATCTCTTCTTGGGTTTATTAGTAACGGGTTAGATTTCAAGTTTCCTATCTAAATTTTTATATTTGTTGTTAGTCTTAACTTATGTCTCATTTTAATGTTGAAGACGTTTTTTAAAATTTGATTAACTATAGTATACAAAATTCATAAGACCCAAAGTCAACAATAATTCTTGGAGATTCATTAGAGACAGTGAAAACAAAGAGATTTAAAAAAAAAAAAAAAAAGTAATTATTTAGTGATATTTTTTAGAAAATAAGGTAGTGTTAACGTCACTTTGTTTGGGGTGATGTGCATTAAGTCAACCAGAAGCTTAATTAATTAAAGACATGGTTTCAGAAAATGGTATAAAATTGCCCATTTAAATAAATGATTTATAGAGCTATCTTAGTCTTGCTAAGATCTAATATTGGATATAAATATTTTAATTATACAATATATATATATATAGTTTGTCGTATAAATACTCTCCAATCTATCTAATTATTATATCAAATACAATCCAAAACTTCAAGAAATGACAAAACCGACAGTTGCATCATGATTTGACACACAAAAAACATCATATTGAAAATGTTGAGAATCAAGAATTCACTTAGATTTGGGTTCGGGCCATTCTAACTCAATTTAACAAAGCCGAGCTCAAATGACCACAATAAAGACACAAACATTAATTTGTAACTCATCAATTTTAATCCTTCAACAACTGTCTCTTGTTTGTTATTTATGAATCTCGAACTCTTTTTTGTGTCAATTAATCAAACACATGGCCGAATTATAGGGTTTAGGGTTTATAATAAAATTTAATTACATTTATTTTATCTGCCCAATTGAATAAATTATTGTACTTTTTGCAAAATATCTTAATTGCTAACCTTAAAAATAAATTATAACAATTAATTTCATGCAATACAACAAATTTACAAATAAAATAGGAAAATATTAGAGAAAAATAATAACATACATTCATAATGGTTCAATTAAACTTCACCCTACGCTATTGTCTAAGCTTCTCGATCCAACTTGGATATTGCGTTTCTCAGAACCTCAAAATTACTTCGAAACATTATAAAATCAGTTGAGCATGTGAGGGATATAAACAACTGTAGTACACTATGAGCCTCCCCTAAGGTTTATGGAGCTCTCAAATAGCCTCCCCTTGATCGAGACTCAACTTATTGGCTAAGTTTAACGCATGGCTGGAGCCCTCGAATAAAGTACGCACTTTGTTCGACACTTTAGTCACTTTTGACTAAACCTTCGAGGCTCACAATTCTTTATTCGATATTTGAGGATTCTATTGACATAGCTAAGTTTAGAGCAGGACTCTCCACAATGATATGATATTGTCTACTTTGATCTTCCACTAAATTAACCAATGTGGGACTAGCTCCAAATAATCGGTGTATTAAAAAATTTATTAATTTAATTGAAATTCTTTTAAAATTTTATATTAAGATTATAAAATTGGTTTCAAATTTTTATAAAATTGTTAAAATAAAATGATTTTAATATAAAGATTCAAACCAAAATTTGAAGAGACACAACGCGTGAACATCACGAGCGCGTGGACATGAAAGACATTGGTCGTGATCCCAGTCAATTTTCGAGCTCATAAGTCCAAAACGCCCAAAAAAAAAATTAAGCAAAAGCGAAACCAGAGAGCTCTCTCAGTCCAAAATCAAAGCCTCCATTGATAAGAGAAATTGCCCAAAAAGCAACCGAACTTCATCCTTCAGCGTTCTATACGATGCGCGAATAACCCAAAATTTCTTTTACTTCATCGCTTAGATTCCTGCTTCCCCTTTTCCCCCATAATCGTATGATCCTGTTGGAGCACAACTATTCAAAGGGAAACTTCAATTAAAAAAAGGGTACAATCCAACTTCAAGATGGCTTCGAATTCGATTCTTTACACTCTTGACAGTCCGATTTTATGTCTTTTCGTGTTCTTCTCGAGTTTCTTCGGCTACTGTCATTCGTTCGACGATTTTGTTCCTCACAATACATTCACAGTTTCTAGCCTTACGTACCCTGATTCCCAGTTGCAGCCATTTCAACTACGATATTTTAGAGGTGCGTGTTTTAATTTTTGAAGCCTATTCTGGATTTTGATGCGATTCTCTGCTGTTTGTTGAGTGATCGATTGCGTTATTAATTCAAGAACTTCAACGATTTGTAGAACTTGTAGTTCTTTGTTTACTTGTTCTATGCTAATCAAGTAGTTTCCCCTGATTTTATCTTTAGTTTTGTGTATTTAAGCTGTGATTTGATCACTGAATAGACTATTGTTCGTGGGTCGATATTAGAATTTTGAATTGAGTTATAGTTTCATTAGGCTCATGATTTTCTTTGGAGTTCTGTGGAATTTGTTATGAACAGGTTCTGTTTGATGCATAGATCGCTGTTGAGTTTAATGTAATCCTGAATTTGAGCTAATTTCTGTCTGAAAATTATGCGATTTTTAAGTATCAATCTTCACAGTATATAATGATAAGAGTTTCAAGTTTGGATACAATGATCAAAAGGTCTCAGGAATGGATTTTCAAGCCATATTTAATTGGGGTTTTCTGACTTGGAATTAGGGTTTTGTTTGTGGAAAGGTTTCATTTATTCATGTGTTTTGCTTTTAGATCTTAAGCATCGAGGAGTTTAAGGAATTTAGTCTGTTGTTTGAGATAAGTTTGCAAAATTTCTACTCATAAGTGTTTTTTAAGGTTGTAATTTTGTTGTTTTTGTTCCTTGTTCCAGTTGAGTTGCCGCCATGGTTCTCATCATTATCAATTTCATTGAACTCAGATGTAAATCTTGTAAGTACTCAACCAAGTTTGAAACTAGAACTACTTAAACTTTGATATCTGATGGTTCTCCTATGACTTCAAGTGGCCTGTGTTGATTGTTTATGCTACATTTCCTCTGAAAATGTTATAGTCATTACAATTGCAATCTTTGTTAGTCCCTCGGTTTTCGTGGTTCTTACCGTGTGCATTGTTTTCAGGACATTACAAAGGCAAGAAAGATACCGAAGCGTGCTTTGCCTATTATTTGCTTTAGAGAAGGCAGTCCTCCATTGCCGGAAGCTTCGAACACTTCCATAATAGATTCAGGTTGTTTGAGTTAGCTACAACTTAAAACAGGCTTCAGGCTTCATATAGTTGTTCTAGTTTGTTTGTGTGAGATCTCATATCGGTTAGGGAGGAGAACGAAACATTCTTTACAAGGGTGTGGAAACCTTTCTTTAACAGACGTGTTTTAAAAACCTTGAGGGAAAACTCGAAAGGGAAAGTCCAAAGAGGACAATATCTGCTAGTGGTGGGCTTGGACTATTACAAATGATATCAGAACAAGACACTGGGCGATGTGCCAACAAGGAGGCCGAGCCTCGAAGGGGGATGAACATGAGGTGATGTGCCAACAAGGATGCTGGGCCCCAAAGGGGATGAATTTGGGGGGGGGGGGGGGGTCCCACATCAATTGGAGAAGAGAACAAGTGCCAGTGAGGACGCTGGGCCCTGGGGGGGTGGATTGTGAGATCCCGCGTTGGTTAGGGAGGAGAGCAAAACATTCTTTATAAGGGTGTGGAAACCTCTCCCTAGTAGACGCGTTTTAAAAAACCTTGAGGAGAAGCTTGAGAGGGAAAACCCAAAGAGGACAATATCTGCTAGTGGTGGGCTTGAGCTATTACAAATGGTCCAAACACCGAGCGATGTGCCAACGAGGAGGCTAAGTCCCAAAGGGGGTAGACACGAGGCGATGTGCCATCAAGAACGGTGTGCCACATCGATTGGAGAAGCGTACGAGTGCCAGCGAGGACGCTGGGCCCCGAGGGGGGGGGGGGGGGATTGTGATGTCCCACATTGG